TGCCCTGATGACCTTGCCCATGCCATCAGCTGCATGCTGCCTTGCTGTGATGTTAACCAAGCACCACTCCTGCAATGTGCGGCAATGCCTGGTGCTCCGGCTAGAACTATTACTTACAGAGCAGCTATACCCAATGAGCACCAGTGTACTTTCATCCAAAGCCACTGCCTGCTCTGTGGGCTGGGAGCAAACACAACAGAGCATTGGCTTACGGCTTGTGTGGTCACCAAAGCCTCCCTCTTTATTGTCCTAGTCACATTGGGATATGCTGGCACTGCATCGTTTGACTCCCTGTGTCACACTGCCCTTCCTAAGATCAATGTTGAGGGAGGGATTGACAAGAAATTCTGTGCCGTCCTATTAGCATGGATTGCGACCATAAGAAGATATACTATGGAACAGCAATGCACCTGGCACCCTGGATGGTGTGAGACACCGCAACGGGCAAAACACATCAGTAACATACCCAAGCTCGCGTCACGTCTTTGGAATACCATCCCGAGGATGTTACTTCCCAAAGCATTACCGGCATGGTGGGTTGACACGGAACGCTGCAAGCCCTGTTGCAACGACGGAGGACTCCATATTGAGGTCAAGCATCCCCTTTCTGCCTTAATTAAAGCAAGCGCCCAAGGTGTTACCGTCTCCCCCAGGAATGCCAATATAGGGGATGTCTTAGCAACATTAGATGCACAGCATTACTTGCTTGCACCTATGTATCAACAGACCCTTGGCGTCCCTAATGTTGCTCTATGGCCTAAAATGTGTCATTGCGGCAATCTGCACCTTAAAGTTACGGCATTAAGGCCAATCCCTGCAGGTACTCCACTTATTGTTGAGTTAAAACCTGTCAAAGATACCCACCTTGTTGCTCAATTTGACGGCAGCTGCCACGTGCAAGAAGGTATCGGTGGTGCGGGTGGTATCGTATGGTCGCCCGGACCAGTCCCGGTAATTCTTGAAACGATTGCCATCCCACTCCAGCCTTGTCCAGATTCTATGTTTGCGGAAATATGCGCCGCTGACGCAACCTTAGACAAGGCATTATCTCTAGCTGCTAGCAATCAAATTAGGGAGGTTATCCTTCAGGGCGACTGCATCAACATTGTAAAGCACTTTGCTGGTGCCTTGAGACTACATAGGGAAGACTTAGTGCGAAGACTGGACAACATGTGGCAAAAGTTAACGCACACACCCATTACAGTGCATTGGTCATACGTCCCTCGCGTCGGCAACAAAGTCGCTGATCACCTGGCAGGAATCGCTGCTAACAGTCTCCGCTACGAAGCACCCCTTCATGAAGATGTCTTCTTTGACTCGGGTGAGGGTCAGCCTCATATGCAAATTAACACTGAGTGCTTTCCGCCTATTCTGTTGCCTTCCAAGCAATGGCACCTGCAAGCTATACAGGATTTGCATTCCGGAGCTGAAACTATTTCTCTTGAAGCCCCCCCACTTTGGAATCCGGAACTGCTTTTGCGGTTTTGCCTCTACAATCGGATCAAGCCTCCCCCCGAGCTTGATACAACGTGGCCAGGGCTGGTCCAGTATCGAAGGCCATCTTTGTACCCACAGGGTAGATATTATGCCATACGGCACTGGCAAACGAGTAAAAGGCTAACACGTTTCTTGGCCATCGGACCGAACGCAATTGAAATCGACATGAAAGGTGCGCATTATACGCTTTTGCGCCTCCTTACATGTCACAGCCCTACTCACCCACCCCTCCCAACGTTGCTTGAAGCCAGGGAGCTATTTAGTAGTCACCTTGCACGCGCGCCCAAAGCACAAACAGTGCAAACCAAGCACTTGTTGCAAAGAGCAGTTGGAATGGACAGCAATGCTTTCCTTCGGCATGTTTATGAAGGTAGTATTGCTGCTTATGCCATCCCCCCTGCCTTGGCAAGGTTTCTTGCACATTTGGTGCAGGCCAAAGCTACCCTCCAGGTTATGATCCAGCAAGGAATCCCTTTTTACCAACCGGATGCAAGGGTCAACAACAGGAATTGGGCAACTTTTGCACTTGAAGCTGCGGAAAGCTTCGTAATGCGAAAAGGGCTCGCTGCAATGCTCCCGTACTGCACAGGCACAGTGCTTTGGGTACATGACGGGGTGTACGTCAAAAATAGAAACGCAGTTTCGCCCTTCATCGAAGGGACTACTGAAGCGTTGGTTCAGCTCATCCAGGTGGGGCAGCACTGTCATCCACAGGTCACACCTAACCAGGAATTTGCTAACCTACAAGATGTCTTTGCTATTACCACCACGAAGAGTGAATTTAATGCGGCAGTTGATGCGTTAAACGCTGCGGGTATCGCGTGTCATAGCCCTGCTCTCCCAAAGCGCCCAAAGGCAACCACCAACAGGGTGTCCAAGCGCCTTATCCTGGAAGTTCAGGATATACTAGAGGTCGAGAGGCAAAGAGACGATAAAAGGAGACGCGTTGATGTTACAGCTGTGTCGCGTAGGGGATTGTGGGCAACACCCCCCTCGTTGTGATGCGTGTAGTCCCCATTTTAACCACCCTCCCTCTTTCGTGATGGCGGCATCTTTGGCTCAGACCAGTTGTGAACGCCCGGGCACAACCAAACATGCTGGCCGCCACACGCTGCCTCCTGGCTTGGCGTTACCATGAAGCCATTGGTAGTCATTCCAGCACAGCTGACTTCGAACGCGCAGTTCTCCCTGCTGCAGCGGGAGCGATCCTCGTGGCTCTCTTAGAGGAAAGCAAGTCGAACGAAGCCCTTTCCCCGTACCATAAGGATCGTTTATATCGAGGCGTCTCCTTTGGTAATCCACTGATCATTCACGAGATTGTCGAAGATCTGGATGAGGAAAAACTCCTACTTGCATGGACTCTCATTGAAGTCATTGCAAGGCTGGACGCTGCCACTCAACCTCGCGCTACCGTGTCAATGCTATGGAAAATAAGTGCACCAAATCTCCGTGCCATCTCGTGCGTTGGAGAACGTGCGCTTGCCCAATCATTTTCGGAGCACTTTTCTTTGACCCCCAAGTGGTCTTCACGAGTTGTCGGGGCTTTAATCGGGCACAAAACTGGATGGGGTAGGGTAGAGGCATTACTCCAGGTCTTAACGCCAAGAGCAACAGTCATTGCCCGTGAACTGTGTGAGTGTGAACAATTCCCCTATCACTTCTTTTGGCCGTGGTAGTCATTCCTTGTTTCTTCTCACACAATAGATCCAGAGCCACGTTATTGGCTTTAATGCCCCTGGCTGGACCCACCTCACTTTGGCCATCTGTTCGCAGACAGTGGAGCCATGTGCCAATGTGGCCACTGAGTGAGGGTGTGGTTGCCCCCTGTACTTTGTGCTCGGTGGGCTTTATTGCCGCTTATGGTACTCGTACCTTTACGTGCTCCTCTGTTATTTGCTTCGTTGTTTGATCACTGCTAACATTGTGATCATCTACCCCTCCCCATCCGAATATAGTTGGCACATGCGTGACAGTTATTTTGCTCAAGCGCTCGTTATGGGAGCACTGACCCTTAACTCGCGCAATGGCCTTCTGTCTGGATCTGGCGCCGGATCATCTTAGGAAGATTCTTGGCTCTTCCATCCATACTTCGCCCTGCCTCTTCTCGTATGACAACAAATTCTGCACCGTGGAGTCCAGTATCGCCTTTTGCATTATGCAGCTGGCTGGCACGGTCTCCATTCGTGCACACTTGGATGCGATGTAAAGTCCTCCGAATTGGTTGGGGCTGCTCTCCAGCTTATCCACCGCTGTTGGTCCAAGGGACTTGCCCTCCAGTTAAGGGAGATAGATGGATGCGGATGCCTTGAGTGGCAGCAATGGGGGTTGCAAACTCTGCGCGCTATGGGTTCAGTGAGTGTGGCGTGGCACAATGTACTTGCTGGCCACATCGGACAGGCGTATATAATTGCGCTCCCGGTAACATTGCATGCATCTTGCAGAATTGCCACTACCACCCTGGGCAGCTACGAGGTGTTTTTCCTTCGGTTGAGCTCGCTGTCCTGTCTGCCTGTTTTCCGTCTTCATGCACCTCTTCTCGCATACCAAAGGTCACCTCCCACCCTGCTTGCTCGTGCCACCCACCATGGTTTTTGGCCTGGCGTTCGCCCCTCTGGGCCCCTCCCAGCCGAGAATGGCACCGGTGCGCCACGAGTGCAAGAGTACCAGTTCACCACCCAACCGGCCTGCGCCTTTCACGAACAGGGTCTTGGTGCGACCTGTGCCTTCGTTGGCCAAATCGCCACCTTCGTCCTCGTTGAAGTTGGACTCGAGTTTGGATGTATGCTCAAGTACACCATGTGTTGCTCACCCTACACGCACGGAGAGTGGTACCTCCTCGACTCTACCCAACTAGGCGCTGAACTTCTTCCGCTCCTCCTGGAAAACATGGCCTTCCGACTTTGATCTCAATCTGGTGCAAATCCAAGTAGTTGTCCAGGGACTGACTTTTGCTGTCCCTCTAGTCAGCTTTCTTGTTGATTGGCCTGTTGGCACGGTCTTTATTGCTGTTGCCTTCCCCTCCTTTGAGCACATGGTAGAGGCGCATCCGGTCCTGGTAGGGTCTTACTTTAGTAGGCGCCTCTGTATTGTCAATCCGCCTGATGGGATGCTCCCTCTCAATCTCACAATCGATCCAATGCTGCCGGTCCTAATGTTGGTTGGCGCCGGCATAGAGGCAACTGTCCACCCGCAAGGGTGGGAGCGGCTGTGCAATCTAGGGCCCCTAGACCTCAGGTAAGGTTGGCCGGGTGTGCCTTACCTGTAGCCACAGATCTTGGGTGGGGCACAGTCGGAGGGGAGTTGCTGCACCTAGGCAGCAGAAAACCCTCGCAGTTGTCTAGTCCGCAACTCTGGGCCTTATACGTCTCTGGGAGGAAATGACCAGAGTGTGGGGCCGCACTGCTTCAGCTTGCAGTGTCTGCGTTGCTTCGGCTTGCTGCTCACGAGCGCTTTGGGTTGATCTGCTCTTTACCCCGCCCTGTTTACTGACAGGGTCGGTGGCCTTAAGGGAAATGAATGCCTTTGCACGTCCCTTCTGGTTGCCGTCGTGGGAAATGAATGCTTCTGGTGTACTCACCATTTGCACGTCCCACTTTCAGTCGATTCTTGAATGCTTTCAGGCCCTCGCAATGCACGATCGCCATCTGGATGTTGCCATTGGTGCTGTCGAGCTGCTCCTCCACTTCTTTCGGAGGGGTCTCCAAGGACATGCCATTGATCTTTCCATTCGCATCCCGGCACTTCTTCAAGAAGTCGTCGGCCGAGTCACAGTGCTTGCTGCCCTCCTTCAAGACATCGTCGTAGGTGTTCTTGCCGTTCTTCAGCTCCAGCTCGGCGAGGAGGTCCTTCACGAGATTCAGCTCTGTCTTTCTCCGTCTTGCTTTTGCCGCTTTGCTGAACAGTCTGCCTGGCCTTGAGCTCTGTGAAGCCCGGGTTTTCCAGCTTCACTGCAGGACCATCGGAGCCCTTCTTGTCCAGCACGGCCTTTAGGCCCTGGTGCTTCAAGTCGGCGCTCTGGTGCAAGGAGGTCTTGTGTGTGCTCGCAGCGATATCCTTCTGGACAGAGTGAATGTAAAAGTACTTCTTGAGCTCGGGGCATGCCGAGTTCTCCTGCGCGAGTTCGGGATCGTTTTTGTCCAAGCCATTGGCCTGCCAATTCTCTTCCAAGAGTGCCTGCAGGACAGCACTGGATCTGTCCGGGGCCAGGTTTTGGCCCACGACAAAGCCCTGGAAGCTCAGCACCTTCGCCGCCGTGTAATACCCTTTTTCTGCTTCCACCAAATCTGTGTTCAGCGTCTCGGAGGACTCAAAGTAGCTGGGCACCCACTCTAAGTTTTTTATCCCGCCTTTCTCCATGTATGTGGCCACCAAGTTCTTTTTCCCCTGGGAATCCATCTCGTGATAGTTCTTGGTTGATTGAATCAGCATGCATGCACGACACGGGACTGGGGCGAGCTTTCGTGAAAAGGCACAAATGCTTCGGCAAAAGACCCTTCGAAAAATCCACACCAAGCATCCTGCAGCAGCTGCTGGGCATGGGTGGCATCCTCGGCCTTGGTGGTGGCTTTGTAGCCCAGGCCGCTGAGAAACCTACTGACGTCCTTCCTCTCCACGGTCTTGCTTGTGCTGGGCTTGGTGCTGGGGGATGCTTTGGTCTGGGCCTGGTTCTTTGCTGCCTTCATGGGTGACTGCTGTGCCTTTTTGGTGGGCTTCGAAGCACTCTTGACGGCAGCCGGGGCCTTCTTGCCTGGCATGTCTCCCAAAGGAAAGCGAGCAGGGGCACGACAGATCCACACAATTCGAACCGAATGCAAAAGGCTGCAGCAGCAAATGTCATGCATCATTTAGAACATTTAGAATGGTTTTCGTGGGACCAATGAGAGCAGAGCACCGTCGACCCTTGCACATGCACATGCAGCAGCCTAGGCTCCTGTTTTCGCAGGCCGGCTACAGTCGATGTCGCTGTTGTCAGCCTGGACGGACAGGAAGCAGGAACGGGTGCAGCAGCTAAGAGGATTCTTTAAGTCGCGTGTGCTTCTGTGTTCGGATTGTCGCTTCCCTCAGCCATGTCCGGCCTCCACTGTGGAGGCTGGACATGGTCCCATCGCAGAGGCCTCCCGGCCGGTCCAAAGTTCTGCAGCAACCACAAACCCGCACACACCCCCAAGGATGGCCTGAAGCCTCCACAAAAACTTAACCCCAAAGAAGCCCACAACCTTAAAGACACCCAACACCCTTAACAGACAGCAAACCCCAAAGAAACCCTGGCCCCTTTGAGAAGCCCTTAAAACCCTACAGAAACCCCAGAAAACGCTGGCCTGTGTCCTGCAGGCACCAGCCATCTTTCGCCCAGGCCTCGTGCGGGGCTGCAGGCGTTTAAAAACTGTGAAAAAAACTTTTTTTAACACTTTCTTTAACACCATGTTTTGTAGCAAAACAAGAGGTGCAGGCCCGTTAAAAAAACTGTTAAAAAAAGTTTCTTTTTTAACAGTTTTTAACGGGTGCTTTGTCGGACAAGAACGGTTGGCAGGCTGAGTACAGTCTGTGAGCAAAACATCCACCCAGAAGCAAAACCGGACAAGGCAAGATAAACCCACCAGAAGCCCGAAGAGGAAGGCGAGGTCCCGCCCGGAGCCTCCACAGTGGAGGCTCTTTGCAGCCCACGAAGACAGCCAGATCCTCGCGAACGTGTGGAATTCAGTGTGCGGGTTTTACCTTCAAGCCTTTAGGCTTGGGTTTGGGGTCTAGGGTTTCGGGCTTAGGGTTTAGGGTTTAGGGTGTAGGGTTTAGGGTTTAGGGTTTAGGGTTTAGGGTTTAGGGTTTAGGGTTTGGGGTTTAAGGTTTTGGGTTTCGGGTCTAGGGTTTAGGGTCTAGGGTGCAGGGTTTAGGGTTTACGGTTTAGGGGTTCGGGATTTAGGGTTAAGGGTTTAGGGTTGAGGGATGTTGAGGGTTGAGGGTGTAGGTGTTTCCAAGTCGGGGTGGCTTGGGGGTGTGAGTAGGCTTAAGCTTCGAGCTCCAAGGTTTGGTGTTTGGGGTTGGGCGTCGGGGTTTGGGGTTTGGGTTTGGTGCTCCGGCAGCCACAGCAACCACAGATGAACCTCAAGCCCGAAACCCTAAACCCTCAACCCTTAAGCCAACCCCTCAACCCCAAGCCCTAAAGCCCAAAGCCCAAACCGGAAACCATAAACCCCAAACCCGAAACCCCAAACCCCAAACCCTATGGACCCTAAACCCTTAACTTAAACCGCGGGCGAATCGTTTCACTTTGCAGGATAGAGGGCAGCTGTGCATGCATAGACCTCGACGGCTCTGTATAAAGAGCAAGAAGGAGGAGTAAGCAGCCAGAATTCCTTGCAGCGGGTAGCATATGTCTGATATATATGTATGTAATTAGGACATATCCTCGCATGGCTGCTTACTCCTCCTTTCGCTCACGTTCCAATCGGGCCTTCTTGCTTGCCTCATCAGGAGCTCCACCGACCCAGGTGCCCGCCTGCTCCATGGCCTGCCTCCGCTCATAGAGGTGAAGAACACGAGCCCGGCCCTTGTTCTTCTTCTTGTTGGCCGCGGCTTGGCACTCGTCCCAGCTCTTCCACTGTGCATCAGTCCAACGGGACGAACTTGACGATGCCTCCTGCCGACCAGCCAATGTCCAGCAGCCCCAGGAGTCATCATCCTCATCCTCCTCAGGAGCCACATCCATCGGGGCTGGAGGACTCTCCTCAACAGGAGGGGACCCTCCACACCAGGCCTCTCCACAGCAGGCTCCTCCACCTCCTCTGGAGGAGCCTCCACCACAGGAATGGGCGACAGCTCCGCCTCCTCCAAAACTATATCGACAGTGGGCGAGCTGGACTCACCATCCTCCTCATCCATCTCTTCCTTCGGAAGCTCGAAGTTTGGAATTTGGAGACGAGGCTGCTGCACAGTCCGCACCCGGGGAGTGTTCCAAGGCTGACGCCATGCTTTCGGAATCTTCGGAGGCATGCTTAAAGTGCACTAAGCATGTTTCTTGTATAGCAACACATATGAAAGGATGCATGTGGAGGCCACGTGTCTATCTGTCGCTTTCAAACATAATCTTCTCACGGACATGCCAGGCGCTTACCTATATGTTTGGAATGCACCTGTAGCCCATGCCTCGATCGGCCCAGCATGCAGGCATGCTCATCATGCATCAATTGCCACACAGCCAGACCACGGGGTCGTGGGGCTTAGCGGGGTGGGCACATGCAAACCTTGCAGCAGAAACCCCGAACTTCGAACAAGCGAGACTGTCCTTCTCCATGTAAGTGGCAGGATCGATCGATCTGCATCTCGAAGTCGACATCGGTCCATCACCTCGATCGATCAACGGGTCCAGCTTCAGGGTTTGGGCTTCAGGCCCGGGTTAGGGCTTTGGGTTTAGGGTTTAGGGTTTAGGGTTTAGGGTTGAGGGTTGAGGGTTTAGGGTTTAGGGTTTAGGGGTTCGGGATTTAGGGTTAAGGGTTTGGGGTTTAGGGTTTAGGGTTTAGGGTTCAAGGCTAGTTTCATAGGGCATGGGTTGTCACCCAAAGTTCTGCACATGCATGTAGAGTTCAGAAGCTCGATCGGCTAATTGCTGCTGCACAGACCCTTTGATAGCAAGCATGCCTGGAGCACTGCAGAACAATCAAGGATCCAAGCTCGTTCGAGGACTGTCACACTGAGCCCCGGGCTGCAGCCTATATCTATCTACAGCTCGAGCCACGCACAGTGAATGCATGCATGGATGCTCTTGCTGTTTTGCATACACCACAACAAGACATCGACAAAATGCCGACAGCATCTGAATGCACAAGCATGCTTTCTGTACCCGAGAATGCGAGACATTAGCATATCGATCCGGCAAACCCGAACTGATCGAATTAATCAAGCTCATTCAGATCCAGCACTCCAGCCAACAAGCTGCTGAGATGCTGCTGCCTCCTCGCACAGGAGGTTTTGGTGTGCCTCTGCCCAGAGGAAGCCCGGCAGCCCGAGCAGCAATGCCGAACACCCAGGAGTCCAGCATGCTATGATCAGCCGTGGCTCGTTGTGCTGGCATCGACGAGTGTGCTTGCCAGAGCCACAAAGACTGCAGCAATGCTTGTGGCCAGGGCCACAAAGCTTCTTGCAATCCGGAGTCTGGCAGTGTGCCATATCAACATTCATCGGGCCTGCTAAAGCTACTGCTGGAAGCTTTATAACTTCTGGCACAAATCTAACCTTCGAGCTGGGGGGCGGGGCGCAGCACAAAACAGTCAACCATGCAGCAATGCATGCATGCATATGCCATCTGCATGATCGAAGAGGCACACAAACGACTGCAGTTCCTCATGGCTGTTTCGCTGCGAATGCCTCGGTGCCATCCTAGACTCCAGCGAGCAAAAGTTTTTGGAGTTTCGCCTATAGAGCTATCCCTCTGCTACTCAGTCACCCGAGTTGTCCGACACATACTTCGCCATGAAAGCATCGATGGCAGGCTTGTCGCAGGCCAGGGCCCCGCTAGACAATGCATCCACACACGTCTTGGCAGCTTCCCTCACAGCCTCCTCATCCCAACCCTGCTGTCGAAAGTTGCAGACCTGTTGCCTTTTGATCTTGCCTGCCGATCGCCAAAATTTGCAGAAGCCAACCGAGACGTCTTTGCTGTAGTACATATAGCCAAACCCATAAGGCTTCTCCTCGCTGCTCGGCTCCTCTGCGACGATGGCAGCACTGGGCCTCTTTTTAGTCGTGACCTCTCCACTGCCGTCCTCTTGGTCGTCTGCAGCCTCTTCGTCCTCCTCGACAGGAGCTGGAAGCAATTTCACGTTCTTTTTGGCCTTGGCCTTGCTTTTGGCCTTCCCCTTGGCCTTCGAAGAGGCCTTCCCCTTGGGCTTCGGTTTGGCCTTCGTCGTGGGTTCCTTCGACTGCAAACACTTTGTCCAAAGGCAAATCGGCAGCTCCACTTCTTTTGCTGGCTCATCTGGGAACTGGGCCAACATGAAACCGTTCTCACCTGGGATCATTGCAGCCTCCAGGACCCGTCCTTGCATATGCCTGACCCAACATGCCCGGTTCAGGTCGAAGCACTCGTGTTGTCTGACTCGACTAACTTTAGGTGTCGCAGCAGCTGCTGTGGATGAAGCAGCCTTCGAAGAGGAAGCCGGGACCTTGGAAGAGGAAGAAGCCACGACCTCCGGGTCTGAAGACTCCTCCGAGGAGTCGGGCACGTTTTCTGAGCCCGAATCCTGCACCACCACATGCCTCGCAGCAGACCATGCTGCTGCAGGCACAGCTTTCAAACCATACGAAGCTGCCAGGGCCCGCAGCTCTGCAGACTGCGAAGGCAGCTGTTCAAGATCTCCAGCTGCCTGATCAGCCTCACTAGTGGTCCGCTTCTTCAGCACCCGGGCCTGCCCATGACCGAACTTGCCCAAGACCACTGTGCAGGGTTTGCTTTTGCTTGCCTGCTTCCGGGCAGGAGAGTGCAAGATGCTGATGAGGCGACGGGTGTGTGCCGACAGTTTTTTCCCCGAGGAAGACTGCTGCTTCTTGTTGTAAAGGTACTGGCAACAAGCTACAGTTCGATTTGCAAAGCTGGGAACCACCCCAGCATCGGCATCCTGGAAACTTTTGTAGGCAGCATCCGTCAAGAGCTTGTTTGTCACCCGGGGTGTGGCAAGCAGAAGTTCCCTTACCAGGAGTTCCTTCTCTTGAAGGAATTCCTCATTGCTGCTACTGAAACTAACGCCTGCACCGAGCCCTTGGG